CAGTGGCAAGTAGAGATACATTGCGTCTAACGGTCCGGCAAAGGCGCGTCGCCAGAGAAGAAGGGGTGGTATAATATATTATAGAACAGATTTATGTTTGGAAAAGAGTCTAACGGTGAGGAAGACATTGTGCTGTGGGTTCCACAAACGATTGAGGGAGGGGGGGGGGCAACCACAAGTTAATTCCTCGGTAGATCACCCATGCATGACGGAGAGAGAGAGAGAGGTAGAAAAAAGGGAAACCATCACCCCCCCGCACACACACATACACCGCCCTCACATTTTGCTGCCTCCTTTCGTCTTCGTCGCCCTGTCTCCCCTCAGCAGCCCCGTGTGTGGGGGCGCCCGATCCTGCCCCCGCCCCATCCCTTAGCTTCTTCAGGAGCCGCACCCGTTCGTCGTTAAGGTCGTCCACTTGCGTCTGGAGTTCCGCCGCGACTGCGGTCATGCGGGCGACCTTGCGGGAGGGGGCGGGGGGAGCGGGTGGGGGATGTACTCACAGTCGTGCATGCTGTAGTCGTTTGACCGTTGACCTCGCATCCCTACAAAGTCGGGACGGAGCACGCCGGGTTCTCACCGAACCAGGCTCTCGGGGGGAGAGGGGGGGCTGTATTTGGTACAGGGGTGTTCTGCTGGCGTGAACCACGAACGATGCCAGAAGCAACATGTTTCAAGTCCATAGCATCAAGTCTTCGCTTTGAAGACCGGGAATTTCGAAAAATGTGTGAACACCTACAGGCATGCATCAGGAAAGTCTCCATATTCACGACCACCATGTTTCCTATTGTAGTCCTCTCCCTCCTGTCACTGATACTGCCACGTTTCGCGCCGTGACGCCCTTGCTTGCTGGGACCCCACTACCGCGGCCACAAACGTGTTGCAGCAGTGTTTCGTACCCCCCCCCCCAGCACGATCTGCGATCTGTTTGTCCGCGCGCGAGAAATACCGTGCCAGGATAAACCTCTGCTGTAATCAACGCACCAGCAATAACAGCGACAACACACAACGACAGCAGCAGCAGCAACAACAACAACAACGACAACAACAAGCCCATGATACCATACCCCAATCCCACACTCTACAACATGCACGATTGGCAGCGGTTTCTCGCGGATGCCTACCGCCTCCCACCTCCCCGGCCTGTGCCTTCTTGACCGCTGCCAGATCTCCGTAGGAGAAGTCTTCCGGCTTCCCTGCCTCTTCCTTGAGCCTTTGACAGGTCATGGTCAACACCGCGTTGGCGTCCATGACCTCTCCCATCTGGGCACGGCGAGGCGGGAGACGGGGAAGTTGAGAGATTGGCCGTGAACCACAAAAGTGGCAACATCAACAATAACAACAACAACAACAACAACAACAACAACAACAACAGCAGCAGCAGCAACAATAGCCGTATGCATAGCAGCAGCAGCAGCAGCAGCAGCAACAGCAGCAACAGCAACAGCAACAACAGCAGCAACACCACCACCACCACCATCAACACACTTGTGTCGGAACTACGACAAAGACTCATTCTTCAGCTAAAACGTAGCACATGTCCAGAGAAGCAACGGAAAAATGGACATCGAGAAAGACGTGTGATGAAACGCTCCACGTACAAAACCTCCCTACGCACGGAAACCGGAACAGAGTATGCGTGTAAAAATGCGGATACAAGACAGGCTGCAAAGACTCATTGGCTTTGTCTTGGGAGCAACGAAAACGTGTGCGACTTTCAGCTCTACTGTTCACCTTCAAGCTCCGCTGCTCCAGCTCAGTCTCCAAGCGGTGGAGATCGTTCTTGAGCTTTTTCTGGAACTGAACGGCGTCGACGAGCCCGTGTCCTTCCTCGTACCTTCGTCAAAACGCACACGCATACGGCCGTCCGTCGGTTAAGGACACACATGATCAACATATTCGGGAAAACAGGTGTCCTTCAGCCGAGGAAGTGTCCTTTATTGATACCCCCCTTACGTTGTACACCTTGCGGGACATCATGCCTGTGAAAAACAGCGAGTCTTTATCCGAGGGAGTGTCCTTGATGGTAAGGACACAAGCACGCACACGCCCGTACGCACGTCGATAGCAGCGCGTTCCACAATAACCTATGGGATCCGTTGGGGATGATGATTCGACAACCCACGAGCCACGAGAGATGAATGCGTTGGAAAGGAGAGCTTTCGCCTCTATGCGTACTAGACTACTTCTAACTGTCATGCAATAATATTACTGCTGTCTATTACCCGCGACAGCACCGCGCCAGACCTCCAAAAAAACTGAAACCTCCCTTCCTTGCACTCCGTCCATAACCCCAACGGAACCCCTCCATCAGCAATTGTACAACACACACTTGAAACGGGACCATTTCATTAGCGCTTGTACGACAGCAGCCGTACCCCAAACGAAATAATTTTATTAGCACTTGTACAGGAGTCGTACTTGTTCTTCCAGTCTTCCACCTCCTGCAGCTGTTCCTCCAGGTGGTCCTTCCTCTCTTCCAGCTCGGAGTACCGCTGCTTCTCGGTCTCCACGTCTGAGGTCAGAGCCTTCACCTGTACGTACGTGACAAGCAATCGTTAAAATCAGACAGAAAAATGGAGACACTCAAAAAGCGTGGTAATCTTCTCTTTGCCATCCCATTGATTCTTGACGTCGGTCCCTCGTGCATATTTCGTTACAATCCTAATCTTGGAAGCACCAGCCGGAGATCACACAAGGTCATACAGTATTTGAACAGGATAAATTTAGATCTGTGGAAGAGACGACTTTATTTAAATCATAGGTTACGAAAAGCAAAAAAATTGGACACGGTTAAGCATAACGACTTTTAGAGACTTGGGTGGTATCCCAGACTTGTAGAAGCGCCGAATTTGTTGTGTCATGACTCAAGAAAAAATCTGGCGATGAAGCACCACACGACGAAGAACGCGCTTGCCTTAGCCTCTAGCGCCTCGGCCTTGTGGGCCTCCCCCAGGCGAATTTCGTGCGGCAGGTCTCGGTTCTTCCGCCTCTCCAGCTCCAACTCCTCCGTCAGCACCTCCAGGTCCAGGCCCGCCTGCTCCGCGGCGCTAGACTCCTTCAGCAGATCCCGCTCGAGACGCTCCACCTGGGGGCAGAAAAGCAGGATTGTCGGTCCCGCCGTTGTCGCATGTGCCACAAGAACAAGAACAAAAAAATGTTGACTTGTCGGTCTGGCCATCATCGTCCCATGTGCTACAAGATAATGAACATCAATGTTGATTTGTTGTTTCTGGGGGCAGCGCCGCCTTCTCCGACTTTAGCACCATTCCTGTGGCATATCCTTGTCCATCTGCTGTGTCGGTGACACGCGGTATGAAGCCGGCATCACGAACAACCACACCTGGTTTTTCTATCTTCTATCGCCCAGCAGGCTCCCCCCCCCCCCCCCTCCCTAAAGTCAAACCTGCCACATGCTTGATATACTGTAGTCCGCTGCAATCAAGCTCTTCGAGTCATTGCTGCCGCGCTCAACGTCCCAGCCACCGGACTCCCTCAAACCGACCCCCATCAACCGCCGTTGCTGTTGTTGTCTTCACAGTAAAAACCGCCCGGGTCTCTGCTCAGTACCTTCTACTACCGTTGCCGGTCCAACTGACGCTGCTGCGGTCACAGGTCAACTACCCAAAAAAAGTAAACACATGAACTGAGTGGCCCGAATCTCGTCATACCTCCGCTCTGAGCTGCTCCTGCTCTCGCTGCCACTGTGCCGCCGCCCCACCCCGCTCGTTCGCCCTCGCCGCTTCCTCACGGAGCTGAGCAACAACGGTCTTCTCGGCTCGCAACTCATCCTGCAGTTCATGTCCGAAACGGGTGAGGGATGGGGGGGTTGGCGGGACTCATGTTTAGCACGCCTTAGCTGTTGGACCATTGCCCACGCATGCTCGAGAGGGCAGAGCGTTGTTCCCGCAGGACCGACCACCGATGGTCAATCGTTCCTTTCCTACTTTGCCAAAGGTGGCTCAACAGTTGCGAGAGAGGGGGAGGGATAATTGCATCGCTTGCTAAAGTCATTCGATCGTGGGGTGTTACGGGTTAATGAGACCGGGCACCGCTGATATAAGTTCCTTCTCCTGGAAGACGAGTCTGCCACAGTTCGGGCCCGCTGTGCGTTATCTTTCCCTCGCATTTTACATTGGCTGTCTGCACCGTAAGCGTTAGTTTTTTGTTTCCCTTCCCCGGCTGCAGCTGCGGCCGCCGTCTTTTTTTTTCTTCTTTTTTTTTTTCCAGGGATAACGACGACGTGATAGGGTTGTACGTGCTGCATTGGGCGAATGCGGAAAACGACGTGCCACTACTCCAAAACCAGGCCAGGTAGGTGCAGGGGGCGTTACAGGCCTAAACGAGACAGGTGGCTTGAGTCCTCCCGCAGCGTCGCTGCCACTTGCCCCTGTCCTTGATCCAGTCTTCCCTGACTCCAGGGAACCCCCTCGATTGCGTTAGATGTTTCGACAACACCAAAAACTCGTTCGTCTTCATTTTCGCGTTCAATTTCCATTTGTGGTTAGCTAACCTCGATTCCCATTAACTTTGATGGGACTAAAAATATAAATTGAACTCTACGTGCAAAAATGGACAGCATCAACTCATCATTTGATCTGGGGGTCATCTAATGGGCCACCAAAAAAAAACACATGGGAAAAAATTCACGACCATCACGATATCGCCCCCAAATGATGTACTTCTTCCTGCTTCTCGTGACGTACTTTGTTATGAGAGTACTCTCGAGAGCTAAAAAATCCTCATACGTTTGAAAAGCTCTCCCAAGTTTGCGTCCCCTGCTTCTTTCGAAATGGGGCCCATGCTACGGTGCTGCTGCTGCTGCTGCTGCTCACCTCAAGCGCGTGGACCCTCCTTCTGCCCTTCGCCTCTTCCTCGTCCAGGCGGCGCTCGTACTCCTCCTCCGCCTCCCTGGCCACCTCCAGCTGGTCGTGGCAATCCAGCAGCTCCCGCACCTTCTCCTCCAGGAGTTGGCTCTGCCGAGGTGGAAAGACGACGTAAAACGACACCGTGAAAAGCCGACGGTAAAAACGACATCGTGAAACGGTCCTCACACCAGAACCACAACATCAACAAGCAGCCTCGGCGTCAACGTCTGCAAGAGCCTCTGAGGCCAAGAAAAAATAATCGCGCCGTGCACGCGGTTACAGCGTGCCGCCGAAAACACGAGCAACTCATCGTCAAAGGAGGACTGTCGAACGCACAAACACGCCACTACATCAACCGCAACGGGCCATCGCGTGGTGTGCAATGCTGCTGCCCCGCTCGCTAGCATCTAATTCCGACGCCGGCGCACCGCTTCGTTGAACTCCCCCCGGAGGTCTTCGTTTTGTACCGTCAGGGTCTCGTTTCTCTCCATCTGCGCCTGGTTGCTCAGCACCAGCTCCTCCACCACCACGTCCCTCTCCTTCACCTGAGCCTCTAGGTCCTCCGCTCGCTCCCTGTTACGTTGTGCCAAGCAAAGAATAACCGGTGTCCGTCAGGTTTCTCGACTGTCAGAGGGTTCGCACGGACGAGAAGACACCTGGGGGTACCATAGAACGGGCGGCCCACTTTTAGAATAGCCTTGCCGACACCAGAAACGTACGCCTGCCGCTGATCTGCAGCCCCTCCGCAAGGTCTCACGCATTTCGTCCGCTGAGGGGATCTCTGCGGGGGGTAGTGCCAACGATAGGCTGGAGGACGCTATGCACGAGGAGTGAACTGCTGGGCCCTCCTCTTTACACGTTTTCCAATGTGGTATGCGCAAGACGGCAGCGTAGATGACCACAGCAGCACCCTACAATTAGGGTGGAACCATGAAACGCTTCAAGGCGGCCCCCTCCCTTCTACTTGTCAGTTGTGCTGTTCGTAATACACCCCGCAGCCGTGTGTGCCACACCTCAGGTCTTGCAGCTCCTGCAGGACCTTGATCTGGTCTCTCTGCTCGGTGCGCCTCGTCTTGTCCGCGCCGCCGGCCCGCTTCTGAGCGTCCGCGGCCTTGGTCTTCTCGGTCTGGAGAAGCTTCCGCGTGTTCTCCAAGTCTTCCTCGAGCTTCCGCCGCAGCTTGTCCTAATTCGGTGCAAGCCAGCGACAGGCAGGATCGAGGGGGCGAAGCCACCGTGAAAGAAACAGGCAGGCAGAGTGGGGGGCGGTGAGGATCGAGGGGCGTCATGAACTTGGGGCGTGCAGGAGCACGTGGTGTGGAGTTGATAGGTTCTTCGTGGAAACAGGTGCAGGGATGGACGGAACAAGCAACGCAGGGTGTTCAGCGCCAAGGCAACGGGAGGCGCGTTGAACGTAGCGGGGTACGGCAGTCGAATCGGGTCCCCCATCAAAATCCATTTCATGTCTTCGGTAGAGCTGTACATGTCTACGCGCTCCCTTGCTTGGATTTGAAGAGCCGCAGCGCGGCCTTTGGATATGTGGGTACACACATCGGGCTGCCGAATGCGGCTGTGGAAGCAAATTGTGCGGTCACTTTTAAAGCTGACGTAGCGCTGGAGAATTTCTTAAGTCGGGCATTCCCACGAAACCTAGAGGAAGCCAGAAACATGCACTGAGTGGAGTGTCCTTGGTATGTACTGTACCATATAAATCGAAAATGTGTGCCGAACGGAGGACATGAACGATGGTTGTCATCTGGGGGGAAATTTAAATTTCGAGTTTACAATACTTGTTAGAGAGAGCCAGTCAGATTCCTAGTAGCCGGCAAGGTGGCTGCAGAGCAGTGTTCATGAGAGTGCGGCCAACGACACGGGTGAAACCCTGTGTGGCGTGCGTGCAGAGATGCAGGAAAAAGGCGCTCGGCTGACAACAGCCCAGTGACGTCAACGGACGTTCCCGACACTCTGCGGGGAAAATAGCATATATCCAAAACGCAAAAGATATGTTGGACACTCAGATCGGAACCAACACCGGCGTCATCGAGAGCAACCACCACCAAAGCGAAAACCACAACCACACCCGCTCACCAGCTCCTTGACCTTCCGATCCTTGTCCTCGAGCTGCGTCTCCAGGTTGTCGACCCTATCCTTCTGGTTCAAGTAGTCCTGCTCGTAGGCATCGCGCTCCTTCTCCAGAGTATCCGCCTGCTCCGTCAGCGCTGCGATCTCCTCCAAGGCCTTCGCCGCAGCAGCACCCCCGCCGTCGACGCCAGCCCCCGCCCCAGCCGCCTCGTACGCGGCGAGGCGCTCCTCCATCTGCAGGGCTTCTTCCAGCGCATCGTTCAGCTCGCTCTCGAGAGCCGCGTGCTCAGGATTCTCGCACGCCATGGTTTGAAAATCTGCCGCCGGCGCGGCCGATCGATACTATTAGTACTAATTTGCACGCGTGAACGGAACGGGTGGCAGACGGTGGATGTGCCACAGCCGATCGGCGAATCTACTGATGCTGCCTAGAGAAGGCGAGGGCGACGAGAGGAGAGCCTTGCCCCTCTCGGCCATGTCTTGTTGTGCACAGCACACGTTGGATGGATTGGACGAGGGGCGCACCGGACTGCAAATTTCTCAATTTTGGGGGGGGTATCGCCAAGTGCGAAGTCCCCTCATCTTCTTTTTTCCCTCAGGTCTGTCCGTCCCAGCTGCTCACATGACATTCCAGCGGTGGAGACAACGGCAAGAACGGTGCACTTCCACAGGTATGCCAGCTATAGAGGAACGAAAGCATGCGGCATCGTTATCTTAAAAGCATGTATTACGTCCCCTCTGTTCATGGGCATGGTATCTCTCACAGCTCACTACTGCTGTTTGTAATATGTTGTCAAACTGGTTCCCCTTGTGATCCCAAGTTGAACTTTTCAACCTTTTGCATTTCGTCGATTTGATTTCCCACGACCCAAACCTCATGGGCAGACGTTGGGGGCTGCCGCAGCATCAAGGCAGCCGTTCTAAGAACACGCCAAGGCAGCCGTTCTAAGAACACGCCACCATGATCTCCTTCGTGGCTGCCTATCGCACGAACTTGCCAACAGAGGCATGCAGAGATTTCCGATGTGCTGGCTCTCTCCCTCTCTTCTTCAAAGTGCCGGTTGATGTTGTATGCAAACTGGTGTTGTACGCACGAACATGAGTACCCTGCCCTCTACACGTCACGGCGGTGATACTGCTGTACTATCCCACCGTTGCGGCAGTAATAGTTCCCTCCCACCTGCCCGGAATGTTTGCGATTATTAACCGAAAGTTTCGTCAAAGGAGCCATCGGTCAGACACCTACATACATGCTCTGCCTTTTGTGTTGTGGCGGATACAATTCCTTCCGAGAGCGAGTTCTGCCGAGGGCGGGTTGTGTCTGAAAAAAAACTCAAACGAGAGATCAGATGTCGCTGCTGTAGGATTGCTCGAAGGAGTGTAGTATGCATAGAACCAAAGGTAGGTCACGTTCAACATCACGATTAATGGCTAATGTCCTAGACTCGTTTATGGATGTAGATGCCCTTGTGTTCCACAGTTTGAGTGAGGCTACTCGTTGTACATGTAGACTACTTGTAGTCCGTCTGTGTTTTTATGTACCCTTTGGAAAAGATGTGCATCAGCTAACGCTCCCTTGCGCCAAAATCAACGTAGCACGCTTCGCTACTACCCTTATGTTAAACTGTTTTCTAATGGAAAGGGCCTGAATACCAGCCCCCACATCGATCGCAAACCACAATAGCTTGCGCGCGCTGGGTAGGTTGGTGTACACGAAATGTGACGGGCATGGAATGAATGGTGGACAACATTCAGTTGTTGCCGTTGAGCTTCCTCTAATTGTGTCCATTTTGTTCAAGTTCGAGATCACCACAATGCAGCGTATCTGATGTAAACTCTTGGGTGCTGCTTGGTTTCGGTTCATCGTGCGGGTTGTTTTCTCCTTCGCCCACCACCTCCGCACGCTTTGCGCAGAGACGACCAGACTACTAGTCGAAGAGGACCACGCCTAGAAACCTCTGAAGCCCCACCCAGCCCTTACAAGGAAGGCAAGAATATCCATCTGCCCACATACAACACTCTACCATGGTGCATTCTGGGTTAGGCCATTCCCACGCCGCCGCCGCCGCCACCATCGTGGCATTGCCGACGGAGTTGCACAAGGCCGCCCACCGCAACGATGCAGGGACCATTACCATGTTGCTCCGAGGCGGCGGCATGGACCCCAACTCCCGTGTCGAATGCCCGAACTGCGACGAAGGGGCAACCGCTCTTCATCTTGCTGCGCAACAGGTTTGTTCTTTTATTTCATGTGTTGAGAAAACTCGTGTACGGTTTCCAAGTCTTGCCACACGTGCAGGCGGCATCCTCAAGAGCGTTTGTTTTCTTCCTACTATCGGACATCCAACACCACCCGCGTTGTTGTTTTCTGTTCAGGGACATCTGGAGGCGGTGCTGGCTCTCCTTGACGGCGGTGCGCGGCCCGGCGGTCGAGACTCCACCGACCCCGGTCGACCACGGAGCGAGAACAACCGGGTGGTTTCGGGTTCCTCCTCCCCCTCCTCCTCCTCCTCCGAAGAGTGGGACATCTCCGACTCCGACGACGTCTCCGAACAAGAACACGATGACCTAACACCGCTGCACCTGGCGTGCGTCGGCGGGCACACGGCGGTCGTCCAAGCCCTACTGTCCGCCGGGGAGCCAACCGACCGACTCGCTTCGGGTCGGAAAGTGAGCGACCACGCCGCCGTCCACGGCAACAACGCCGCCCCCGACCACTCCGGCGGGACCGGGGGAGGAGTTGTGCCTCACTTCTTTGGCGGCGTCGAGGGCGGGCACACCCCGCTGCACCTGGCTTCGGCGTGCGGGGCGGCGGGCGCGGTGCGCGCCCTCGTGGGAGCCGGGGCGTGCGTTCACCGGCGAGAGGGAGACTGCGACGACACCCCGCTCCACCTCGCGAGCGCGGCGGGACACGTCGAGGCGATGGCGGCGCTCCTCGCGGCCGGGGCGGACATCAACGCCGGGGACGAGATCGGCAACACCCCGCTGCACGTGGCCCGCGACGCCGAGACCCTCGAGTTCCTCCTCTCTCGCGGGGCGAACCCAAACCTCGTGGCCATGTCCCGGTACGGAGGTGGCACCCCGCTCGGGAGCTACTGCACGCTGATCCACCGCCTCGAGACCGACGACCGTGGCATGCGGAACGCGACGGCGAAGGTCGAAGCGCTGCTGCGCTACGGCGCGAGCGTGCACATCCGACCCACGACCGCCGGCGACCTGTCCTTTCTCCCCCACGCGTCCCCCGCCACCGTTGCTGCTGCGTCCCCCATCCTGTCGTGCGCTGCCAAGAACGGCGTGCCGGGGATAGTTTCCGCCCTTCTCGGCGCCGGGCTAGACCCCAACGAGCGCGACAGAGATGGCTGGGCCCCGATCCACGACGGTAAGAGCAAGCGCAAAGTTTGACTGTCGTTGTCCCGGATGAAGTCTTGCTCTTAGAATATGTCTATTGTTCGTCGTCAGACACGCTGTTGAAACACAACAAACGGTGTTTCAAGCTGTGTAGGTTGAGAGGTGTTTTCGACCGTGCTCCAAATTCGGTTAATGCAGGTAAAAAAGTTCGAACTTCATATTCTGGGGGGCATCCGAAGTGAACTGAATACTCCCAGAGCCCAATGACTTGATTTTGGTGTACCGAAGGCCAGCAAGATCTACGCAGCCCACTCAGAACAAAAGTCACTCTTTGGGCTGTGATTGTTGCTTAACCGGGAGGGAAGCAAAGGAGTATTTTTATGTGGGCAAGAAAGAGATTCAACTCGGTTTTGATGCAACGCATTCCCCAGGGGAGCAACACGCAAGGGACTCCGAAATCGGCATCGTCAAGAAAAACAGAGCCTACGTAGTGACGGGCTGCCCATCAAACGGCAGCTGTTGCGTATCACCGGCGGGCAGAACCGGAGTGCACGATATAAGACCCACTCTTGTCGGCAGTCTACATGCCGGCCGGCCGGCAAGAGGGTCTGGTGCTGCGCACTTTTACAGGTTCTGCCTTCTGTTAAATGTGCAGCCGCTGCCGTAAGACGGGCCGTAATCAGTACGTAGGCTCTTTTTTTACGATGCCATTTTTTTTATCTCTTGAGCGTTACTCCCCTGGTCAAGATTCTAATCGGTTTTGATGAAACGAAACCGCGAGGGGAGAAATACGCAACAAGAGATCCTGAAATCGACGTCTTGGAAAAAAATCAAAGGAGTGTGCATCGCTACATACTGTAGGCTTTGTTTTTTACACGGCGCCGGGACAGAATCTCTTGCGTGTTTCTCCCCTGGCGTTTTGGCTGCACCAAGAACGATTGATTCTCTTGCCCAGACGTAGACTCCTTTGCTGCCTGCCCTCCCGGTTAAGCATATGCCCAGCTCAATGAGTGAAGCTCTGAGGCAATGTTTTCCCGCCAATTTTCTTCTTCGTTTTGAAAACTCTGAATGTTCTTCTCTAGGCGGCGGCGGCGGCAAAATGTGTCTTTCTTACCTTGGTGGAGGTGCTAACCGCGTGGAATACATGATGGTTTGTCCTCGACGAGAATCCTTACCCCACCTGATTCGTCTGCTTTCCTACCAACGTGTGCATAGTCTGGGAGAATTGTGCGCCAATGGGCGCGGTTATATCCGTCTTCGTGCCGTGTCCCTCGCCTGGCCGTAACGATGTCACGAAAAACAAGTCGCACATAAAACGCATGGTCGACAACCGCACAGGACGACGGAGAACAAAAAAAGGGCGCGATGATGAGTCTCAAAATTCTGACGATGTTTGTGTCGTACGAGCAGGCCGGCACTGTACATGCAGAGACCCCCATGCACAGTTATCGACGTCGCGTTTGCACTTCTTTGGGTGACCGTTTTCGAACTCTTTTCAGCGGTCCAGGGCGACCACGTCGACGTGCTCCGCCTGCTGCTGCGGGCTGGGGCCGAACGGGACGCCCCCACTCGCAGCGGGGGGTGGACTCCTCTCCATCTCGCGTGCCGGTACACCAGCGTGGAGTGTGTCGTGGAGCTGCTTCGCTGGAACGCCTCGCTTGGGCCGGCGGAAAGGCCGTCGTCTTTCAACGCGCGTGCGGAGGGCAGCGCTGTTCATCGTCCCGGCAACAACGAAACCAAGCCGATTTTCGGCGTCGCGCTCGAAGATTATCCTCCGGAAGAGGAGGAGGAGGAGGAGGAGGAGGAGAACGGTTACGGTAAGACGCCGGCCGAGGTGGTCGGTCTGAAAAATCTCGCCGCGGCTTCGACGGGCCCCGCCGGCAGCGGCGGGAGCGGTCACAGGGCGGACCCGAGCCTGGACGAGGAGGAAGAGCAGATGGTAGTGTTTGGTGATGATGACGGTGAGAAATCACCGGCCTTAGCCACTCAAGCACCACCCATCTGTTCTGCGCCTTCGTCCTACGCGGCACGGAATAGTAGCTCGCAAACGGGTGCGGATCGTTTCGTTTCGCACCCTGACAGCCGTGCTTTCTTTGTCTTGGAGCCGTGCCCCCGGGTCTTGACGACATTCTCGCGAACTTGACGCGTCGTGCGCCGCTACGCAGATGAGTTGTCAAGGACCACTTGCACCACGAAAGTCCCACCACGCTGTGCCGTTTTCGGTTCAGTTGTGGGTGTTCTTACAGGCAAGGGTCGACGGCGCTGCGTGTGACCCAAGCCGCCTCGTGCGCGTACACGCCTGACTCCTTTGCGCTGCTGGTGCGCCCCAAAGAAATCCAAAACCGGGGCTAAATCTCTTCTTTCGTTTCGCTCCCCCGCCGTCCGCGCGCAACTTTTCCTGTCTCTTCCTCCACCGTTCGTGTGCGTTGGCTATGCCATGGCACGTTTAGAGGAAACGGGAGACAGGAACACGGGCGTAGGCGAGCGCAACGCCATTCGTCGCGCCCTGCGGCGCGAGGCGGCCTGGCGCAGGAGAAGGGGGGCCGTTCTGGTCAAGGTCTGCCTTGAGAGGCAGCGCCAGCTCGAGGGAGCAGCGGCAACTGCTGCGCCGACGCCGTGTGCAGCGGTCCCCAACGACGGCGGCGGCGGCGGCGACGGTTTCAGCCCTTCCGCTCGCGTTAAGCGCAAGGGCAGCGTGCGGGACGACGCGAGGGTCTCCGTTTCTTCTGTACAACCACCCGGACCCGCCGCGGAGATGACGGCCGGGGGTGGAGTAGACGACGAGCGGTTGCTGCAGGGGGCTTTGGAAGGGTTGGTGGGCCTGGCTGAGCGCGAAGAGGCGCTTTTTCGTGAGATTGTCATGTGCTTGTAAGGGCTAGGCCAACCGCTGCTGTACGGCGGACATTGACTCCGTTGTTTTCGGAACCATTTTGCTGATTCTCGAACCTTCCCTCGCCGGATGTATTTTGTCGTGGACGGAGAACGGAGAGAAACACCGGCCAGGCCCTCTGTGTTTGGTTCTTTGGAGAGTCTTATTGTTGTTGGGCAGGTAGGTGTGTTCTGGTTTGTTCAGTGCTTTGAGTCCTCGTGAAATGAGCTACCACGATGACGCCGGTAGTTGCGACATAGGTGGCGGCGCAGACGTTGCCCTGATGTTGTGCATGAGCAATGTTGGAGGTGTAGGGGCAAAATGTGTCATGTATTTGTATGCATACCTTGGGAGGATTTGAAAAGGTGTCGTGTATTGTATGTATACTTTGGAGAGGATTTGTGAAAACAGGAAATCGCTGGAAAATTATTGTAGCTCGCTTGCGTACCTTATAAGTCGTTGATGGGAGGAGTGTCGAGTCATGGCGCTGCGCGTCTTGTCGGGTGGAAAAATAGAAATGCCGAACCACTGTAAATTCCCTTGTAAATGTGTGGCATTTGCGGAAGTACCTTGTTGGATATCAATTGGGAGGGAGAGTTGTGAAGTCAACGTGTCGCAAACGTACGCATAGAACCCTTTGGTCTTGTAAAACATGTACAAAACGCGTGTAGTATTGCTTTTGATTCAGTGGTGTATCGCTTGGAAAGGCTGCTGCGGCGAGCGCGCTCTTTTTCCTTCGTTATCTGGATGTATGCCAGGCAACACAGAAACAGACGCCCCAAGATATCCAGACTGTTCTCGATGGCAAAACTCTTCGATGAAATTACAGCAGTTGTCATCCAACCCCTTGCTGCGCTTCATTATCGCAACCCTTCAGTTGTCTACGTGCTGCCCGCTCAAAGTCAAACCCGGCAGCAAAATCCGCCTTTCTACAGCAGTGTGCCCCGATTCCCCTTTCCGAGGCTTTCCGAAAAATAAAACGGATGACAGACACATCAACGTCGGCGGCCTGCTCCAGATTCCGGCAATCACAACACAAAACTCAGGAAGTTTGAAAGTGACGCGTTTGAGCCACCTACGTCACGAAGATCCAAAACCGTTGCCGAGGTCCACTTATCGCACGGTTAACGTGTTGTACGGTTGTGAGAGTGAAGGCCACGTTAGACTTGGGTGGGTCAGGTCTCTGTTTCTCCTCTTCAGATTCTATCTACGAAAAAACACTAGGCAAGCGCTGCTGTGTTTCAACGGCGCCCTACAGCTCGTGCAAAGTTGTGCGCGCTTGAGCCAGCGGATGGTTTCGCCCTTAACTGTACAAGGCTTGAATACCAGTAACTGTTGGAACACCATTCGCCCCCGGAGGATGCAAACGTGGCACGTCAGTAGAGCGTTATCCGGAATGTTGCGCTCTTGCTACTAGATGTTTGATGCACGCGGTGAACACAACGACGAACACGTAAGACTTCCTTCCCTCCGATACTCCAGATTCCAGAAAAAAAAATGCACCCCTACTAAAACTGGAAAAAACGTATTCAAGCGGTACAGCAGCAGCACAGCAGTCCCAAACAACGTCGATACAGCGATCGGGCCACCTCAAACCGTGAAAGAACCTAAGCCGTTTGAAATGCACAAGCGCTCATTGTGAGCACCTGAAGAATCATCCCCTGAAAAGAACCATCGAGCTTCCCTGTACAGCACAGTCGCTAGGACTCCCTTTCGTCTTGCTCGGCAAAAGTCAACCGAACAAACCGGGGGCGCTGCGACATATCTCGCATCCACTCGAACTTCGCCACTCCTCGCGCCCGGCACTCCTGGCTCCCCCCGGCACCCTCGCCCAACCCCACCTCCAGCCCCAACCACCGCTGCATAGCCTCGGGATGAGACGTGTCGACCTCCATCCACAGCTGCCGCGGGCCCCCCTTCCTCAGCAGTCGTGGGCACAATCGGACGATGTCCCTAACGACGTCAAGACCATCCTCACCTCCGTCCAGGGCAACGCTGTCCTCGTGGTCCGCCACGTCCCGGGGCAAGCCCTCCATGTCTCTCGTCGGGATGTACGGCGGATTGCTCACGACAAAGTCGAAGCTACCGTCCAAGTCGAGGTCCTCTCTCCCACCCTTCTCCACGCTGCTTCTTGGCGGCCGATCGATTGCGGGTGTAGTCACGCTCCCCTTCTCACTTGGAGCGAGCTCGGCGACGGCGGCGTGGAAGCAGGAATACCTGGCCTGCAGCCCGGTGCGTGCGGCGTTTCTTCTCGACAGCCGCACGGCGCTCTCCTGCGTGTCGACAGCCACGCACCGCGCCCCCGAGGGCAGCTCGCCGAGCAGCGCCAGCCCGAGCGCCCCCGTCCCCGAGCCCACATCGAGGAAACGCATACCGCTCTCGTCGCTACTACTGCTGTCGGCGCCGTCACCGCCGGCGGCAGGAGCATCAGCAGCGCGGTCGACGGCGATTGCGTTCATCACGTCCGGGCGCAGCCACTTGAGAATCATCTCCACGAGCTCCTCCGTCTCGGGCCGCGGGATGAGGGTCGGCGGTGCCATCTCCAGCGTAAGCCCGTAGAAGTCCCACTCGCCGACCAAGTACTGCACGGGCACGTGCTGGACAGCCCGAAGAACGCAGAGCCGTCGAAACTCCGTCCACGCCGTCCTTGAAAGTCGCACCGCCGTGTCTACCCCTTGCTGCTGCTGTTTCGATTGCATTTCCTGGGGCGAACGGAATCCCGCCGCTTTTGCCAGGAGCTCGGAAGCGGAGGGTTCGGGATCGACCACGCCGTAGACTTCCAACCATTGGGCCGCCTGGCTGACAGTCTCGGACAGGCTGACGCCGTTGCCATCGGCGCCGCCGCCGTTCTTGGTGGCCAGCGCCGAAAGAGCAGGCGGCCACGCGGCGGTGGGGGCATTCTCTGGCGGGATGCTCTCGTGAGTACTCTCGTCTTCCCCATTGCTGTTGTTCCCACTGCTGCTACTATCGCCACCCATGCTGCTGCTACTGTGGATGGTGCAGCCGCCGCTTCGTCGTCTAGATCCAAACAGGGAATACATGTCGTCGGCGGAAGACCCTCCCGTGATGAAAGCTCGCGGAAGCTGCTGTTCGTACCGCGGACGATTGCCCGCTGCAGACAGAGCTACTCGGCAAACCGCATCGGAAGGCCGCCATTGATGCTGTCGGCGGTCCTTACAACGGCAAATCTCCAGGTTACTGCCCGATCTCACGCCCACGAAGCGCACAGAGCTGCCGCTCAACCTGGGCCGCATAGACCGATCGACGGTCAAGGTGCTTGATACGAACGCTTTGCCGCGCTTGCTGGGTACAGAGTGTAACGATACTGCGTCCAAGCGAGGGTGCCGGGACATAGCGAGGATAACCCTTGCATATATGCTCGGGAGGGCCGATACCCATCGATGCATGGTACAGCTGTGCGTGGTAGGCGGTGCTGGTACAGCAGTGCGCTGCTGTGCTGCTGTGAACTTGAAAATGCGGTGCAACCTACATGTACTTTTTTTTTTTATGGAGGAATTGCCCCGCACGCATGACCGCACCTCTCCGATCGTACAACGTGTAGAACGACGATGGTGAGGGAGACGAAGACCTACAATGGACACAAGGTCGTCGGCGTAGTACAGCGCTCCACTGCGAAGACGGTACACTTCCTTCGTCATGCTGAAGGTCAGGACAAACGGAACAAAAAATACTGCTGTGTTGCATCAGCGGTGGCGTGACACAAGATATCACACCCTCTGGACGGATTTGCAAAGCTCGATTACTCCACTGCAGCAGAAAGAGTGGCGGTGCCGAAAATGGCGGCGTTGGAGCTGTCTCATCGAGAGCTTTCCGAAAACGTGCCGTTTCACCTGTTCATCTTCCTCCTCTCGGAGTAATCGGGCTTTGAAAATTGGAAAATTGGTTCATGGGGTGTGGTATCTTGTGTCACCGTACAAATTGCCGCGCATCCCGCTGAGTTGATGGGGCAGTGAGTCCAAGAACGACAAGGATATCTCACGAGGGATCGATCGCAAGGAAAACTAGCGCTAGTGTTTTTACTGGGAGCACAGTACTACTACTGTTGTGAACCAGTTTGTCCATCATGCCAGCAACGCCCATGATGAGTACAAACCATGCCCACCCGGAATAAAAACAAACAACTTCAGGTCGACTACAGCAGTTGATGGTGTTACAGTAGATACAACCCCCCATCCTACCACCGTTGCTCTTCCGTGCCGCTCGGACGAATGCTACTGGCTTCCACACACCCACAACAAGCACACAATCGCGTCCTACTGTAGTTTTTTTCCTCCCAACAAGAAGACTGACGACGTATTTTATTAGTGGGTCGACTGCCGCTCAAGAACCTCTTTCGTAGGGAACCCTCGCGGCTCGTTTCCTCGTGTGAGGCATCAAACAGAAAATATACATGGTAGGGTCTAGTAGTATATTTTTTCAACTTAATTCAAATTCTTGCACGTTCTGCAGCGCGACCGATACTAATTATTGAAACAATGTGGAGCGGTGAACGTGTGTACGTGAAAGGGGCAAATCGTCCTCGACTGAGCCGTTGGGGAAATGGCCCTCTGTAACCGCAAAGACATATCGGAAACTTCGGGCAAACGTCCAATCATTGGGTGTGCACACCGTTGTTCTGGCAGAGGATGTTCACTGTCTTTCAGAACATCTACTCGGTAAGAATACCAATTAACTGGAGCAAGTTGTCTGAAGACACCTGCGCTGTGTGCGTCTCCTGTGTAACCCCAGCTGATGAGTTCAGAAATTTCAAACGAAGGTAGAAAGAGTGACGTCCAGAACGAAGGGGATGGCAAACAACCGCAGACACAACACACACGTGTCGCCGACCATCAGATTCTATTATCAAATTTTATCTCACGAAAGACACCCTGTTTCGCCAACCACGGCTCTTCGGACTCCACGTGTGTGCTTTCGACAGGAACGCACAACGAGGCGGCGCTCAAGGAGGGTCGAGCAGCCTTCTCCAAGATTGTGAGTTAGCGTTTCCGCTGTGGGGAAAACAAACACTCGCTTGGGTGACAAACCCGCGCTTGTGTGTGCAGGCTGTATGACTCTCAGTTAGTCGGGTGCGGCCAATCGGTGTACCTGCGTAATACGACAGCGGCGGCTGTGCAACTGGAGCGAACAGGGGCCGATACTTGTTTACTTTCCGCAGAGACAGAATGACAAGCGTCACATGCACCCACTTATCTCTAGCACCCAGAGAAATTCGGGTACGCGTGAGAGTTTTTCGCTCTCTAACATGGCCATGGTCATCGTCCCCCCAAGGTGCGATGCTCCCCCTGCTTTTATCATGACTTATTTCGAACGCTTCTCCCCTATGGCTGCTGCCCGCCTCCCTCATTTCAACACCCACCCACCGTGATTGATCACGCGCGCACAGGAGCACCTCGACGCCAGGCTGACCGATCTCGGCAAGGAGCAGTGCGCGACTTTGAAGGCGGCGAATCACGGCATCGAAAAGGAGGCGGAGCTGGTCGTTGTTTCTCCGCTTACCAGAGCGATAGAGACCGCCATGTTGGCCATAGATCAGGTATGATACCCCCGCTGTGGGGGCGGTGTACTCATAGTCGTGCATGCCGAAATCGTTAGACCAATAACCTCGCATCCCTACAAAGCCGGGACGGAGCGATGTGCCGGGTTCTCACCGAACCAGCGCTGTTGGGGGTGGGGCTATTTACCAGCTGGCGGACACCGGCCGTGTAGTAGAAGACTTCGTGCTAAAGTTTTTTGTTGTAGATATATGGGATACGTTCGTCAGTGACCGCGCTCCGTAGATCTGACCCACTAAATGGAGTAAAGTTCTCGCCGCTCTTGAAGATTCTAACCGCTTTCACTGGCCAACACCGTGTCCCGCGCCTAACCTTGATTAGATACCGCAAAGTGTTGGGGAGGTAATATTGCCTCCACCACCAACCCCCCTCCGTGACCCCTCTCTTGCCCTGGGTGTGTCGCCAATTGGATTCACCGCAACTGTCGTTTTCCAGGTAGAGGGAGTGCCATGGGTGGCGCTGGAGTGCGTGAGGGAGAGAGCTGGGGTGCAACCTTGTGACCGCCGAAGGTATAACAAACGCGTAGTGCATGGAATCCAAACGTGTCTTTTGTACCCTCAAACTCCCTCGTCTATGCCAACGAGGATTTACTCACTAGAGGTGGTGACAGAAGGGAGGGGTGGGCTACACAAATCATTTCGCACGTAGAAGAATGCGTATGTTTGATGGCGGCTTCGCGTGTGTTCTTGGATTACGTGGCGCTATACCCTGTTTTGAGAGATGGATTTTCCGTCTTGAATTTTGTGCATTTTGGTGTCATCGCTGTCATTCCTGTGTTTGCACGCGGGAGAAAGGGCGAACGGTTTTCTTTGTCGCTGGTGGAAATGACAAACTGGTAAAAGACGAAGTAGTAGGTATGAAGACAGCGTGCGTGGACTGAGTCAGCTTCAGCAACCCAAGCTTGGAGCTGAGCTTTTCTGTGCGCGACACATGGGGCAATCGAGGGTATGGGAGGGAGTAGCCAGCGGAAATTTTCGCATCTGTCCTTGGGGCGACGGTTCTTCATCTGGAAGAAACGAATTCGCCGTGCTCGTTTTAGGACCCTTGTGAATGCCCTTTACGGCCGCGATGCATCCTTTCCTGACGGCTCCCAGCAGGGGGGGGGGGGGGGGGGGTCCCGAACATCACGGGTGCGGCCAATGTACGACCGAGCAGGACGGTGCGGAGGCAGATGGATTGCAAGCTGTCTTCTGTTCGCAGTAGAGGTTAACGCGACGCGCTTTCGTCCCGACACATACGCATCGCCGCGGTTCATACAGTCGCTCTTGTAGCAAACCGAAATTTTGATTTTGTGTTTGGTGAAGTCGCCGTGGGGAGAGTGCCGCACCGGAATTATTGCGCCTCTGAGAACGTGCTGTTCTACGAAAGAGTTTTGTCAAATATTTTGCGCCTCAGCGCACAGCAGTGACTACATAACCCCTCCTGTCCCTGTCTCTGCTTATGCTTTCAATCCAATCCCTGTACCCCCCTCCCCTGCTTGTGGCGCCAAAAATAAACGCCGCTCTTCGCAGATGCGTGAGCGAGCTCAAGATGGAGTACCCGAACATCTCCTTCGATGCCATCACGGACGATGACGACGCCTACTTCGATTCCCAGGGTGATGAGAGAGAGACGTACGACTCGATGGCCCATCGTGGGAGAGAGCTCTTCTCCTGGCTGAGGGATAGGCCTGAGACCAACATCGTCGTGGTGCGTGAGCCGTTCCTCTCTGTGTGTACGGGGGGAATACTTTTTCTCAGTATTTACCGGTTGTTTCTCTGGCGGGAGTTGGGTCTTGTGCGTGTGTGCAAGGGGGGGGGCGCGGAGGGTAGTTGGTGTTGATGGTGTGGGGGGGAATGCGATGGGGTAACCTCGTGCTTGCCCCCCCCTCGCCTGGAGTTGTTCCTGTTGACGTCACGCGCTTGGTTGTTGGAGGCGTTTGGTGTCAAAGGGTTGCAAGTTGTCCTTTGTTGTTCTTTGTTTTCACCCATCGCTTCTATTCTCAAGGCGTACACAGACATGCATGCCGAGAGCATGATCCAGCAATTGTGAAGACAGCAACAGTTGTCGCTACAGTAGTCACTTCCCTCCCATAAGGATTTCATGTTAAAAACTACCCTCTTTTAGCAGCTTTACTCGCGTGTTTGAGACCCTGGCACGATTGACGAAAGGAGAGGCGCCTAGATCTCGCCATTCCAAGTTAGCACGGCCGAAAGTGCGGGCGGGGTGCGCTTGCCATCGCTTGAACCAAGAAATATATCTCCCCCGTCCATCCTCCAACGGTACACCACCGATCTTGCAGGGCATTATCGGCAGCCAACTACTGGGTGTACATGGCAGGTTGCCCTACATGAAGTACCAGTTTGTGTACCCGCTTTTGGTGCAAAAAATGAACGAACCTCGTTGGCGTTGTATCTCATGAACTCGATGCGAATGACCCACAGTACCCTCCCGCCCTCTCTCCTAATGTTGTCCCACCCTCATATACAAGTATATGTTTCAAGTAGGCCTTCCACAACATGATGCGATGTGCAAAAGTTGTACGTACGTAGGTTCTGTCCTCTTTGTTCGACCGCGTGCGATGCCCTCAAACACACGACAATGCCACGTTGCTCGCCCGCCCCCGCGTTGCACCACGTATGGTGGAACGCCGCATCTTGAGCATTCTGGGCCTCCTCCGTCGCTGCCCAACCCAATCCCCCCCCCCCCCCCCCCCCTGAAATAAACAATTAAAAATACCTTT